GGGGGGGGGGGATTTCGAGCGCTGAAGGCGCGAGACACTTCTAGGGCGGTCCGGTGGCATGCCCCCCGGAAAATTTTTGAAATCTAGAGTCCCTGAAATACGATTTCCTGCATTTTCAGGGTAAGATTATTCAGAAATCCGAAGATTATAAAGTAACAAAACACACAATATTTTCATGACTACGTATGTATAAGACCAATGTAGTATTACATCATAGTCAATAGAACAAGGTTAGGGAACTCGATGCAGACACACAGTAAAAGACCTCATTATCTATGAAGGAACGATCGGTTCATCGTCATGTGTGTATTATTATAGTTACCAATAGCAGTGTGCTGGTTTAATTACCCAGTCGTAATATTACACAATGGCTAAACAAAAACATAATAAGTATTGGTTACTCTAGCGAAAATAATATACACACATTGACGATGAACCGACCAATTTTTTTGCATAAACCAAGACAAAAACATAGATAGGTCTATTATGTTCCTTAACCTTCTTGTTCTATTGACGTTGCTAATCTGGACAAGGTCCTCGAGTCTATCAGGTGACATAGCAGCTCACAAATTATTGTTTATTATTTTGACCTTGCTGTGTGTGCGCTCACATGATGCCACTGTCACAGGAAAGGTAGCGACAAGGTAGCGACCTCAAACAAGTCGGGATAAAGGTGGTGCTGATCATCTTTTCTGAAAACGTCGAGCAAGGAGGGCAAGCAGATCCAAGGTGGAAGCTTGAATATTCCACCCATATGTACTCTTCGTACCATTTCTTTTGGAATGTAAACTTTCTCACCGATATTTCCGATGTTGAAAATCTAAGATAGGTCCTATTCTAAGGTTCTATTTTCCTCCCTCGCACACAATTTCACTTGATGGATCTCTTCTTTCAAATATTTTTCTCTTTCAGTTGTGTAGTGATGCATTCCAAGAAGCTAATGATCATATGTTGCGCGAACGGTGCATTATTTAACATACCTCCCTCGCATCTCAGCAGCAGGACCAAATTTCCGCATCACACATTACCCCTTGCACTTAATTTGGGTAATCCCATTATGGTGGGTTTCCTTCGGTGGTCGTAATCAGTGCCTGCAATATGCTAATGGTAAATACCGCATATTGATGAAACGTTCTTTTGTCAAAAGTAAAGTGATGATCTTTTAATACCGGTATTTATTCACACAATAAAGACTGAATTTATTAAGTTAAATCTAAATAACTGGACTGATGTCACAAACGTCCCCCCCCCTCCCATTTTTCTCAGCGGATTTGGACAAATTAGAAAATTGACTTTGAAGAGAACTGGGAGGGAGACGTGTCCTCTCCAGTCCTCTCCGTGGCGCCGCCACTGCTGGACGCGGATATACTCCAACGGGCTAACAACAGCAACAATGAAATTCTCAATCGTACCACGAAGAAGGCGATGTAGCTCAGAAAACAACGCCGGTAGAACCTGATATTAAAAATAAGACTTTTGCCGGCGAAGCCAGTTGGAAGAACATCTTGGCTATCAACAACAAGTTTTCGAATACATGACTAGTTTGGCTGTTCTTTCAGCGTCGTGTGTCCAAAATTCGTCAAAGATTTGATAAAGCTCTTTCAAAATACTGTTTGTTTGATTTATTTTCTGCCATAAGGCATAAAAGAAAAGAAATTCGAAGAAATCGATAATGGAATTTGTTACGTGCGTTTGACCTTTATATTAATTGTCGCCGTGAGGAGCTATTTTTAAAACTGTTGTTTATGTGAACTTGCAACCAATCAAAATCTTTCATGATGCTGATCAACCAATCAGATTTCCCGTCCACCAGATGGACGGGAATCCCACGGTTTAGATAGGTTTTGTGTCAGGCCCTATTCTGTGCAGACGTGTACTCTGTGCTCCGCTAATTTTATACTATATACAGGGCGCTTATATATCTACCTTAATTTACTAAGCATGGCAGTAAATCTGTGTACAAATATAAAAGTCATAGAAGAAAAGCTTTAGTGGGGTGGTACATTAAACGATTTAAAAGTATTCGTATCAAATGAATTGAAACTTTCTAGCGGCTGGACGTCGCCTGGTGATGAAGTCAAGCTGTTCACTATAGTGATACAGCCAATGTGAGTTTGAAATGGCATAGTAAAACCACGAAATCGATTACCCTGTTTGGAGATTTAATAGAAACAAACGATCTATGTAAGTTACTATCGACTATGTGTAAAGAAAAGCCCGAGAATCTGGTTAACGATGCTGTTAAATGGCAAGGCTTCGATGATTTCAAACAGCAAATGTTGGAATTCACTGAAAACACGAACTCGACGACAATGGAAAGCCTTAGAACTGAGATAGATAGATAGTGTGGATAGATACTTTATTGCGTGTTCCCCTGAGGGCTTTTCAACACTCATTACATATTAAAATTACTATAAATTGCTTCTAAAACTACCTATGTTACATATACTTATTTAAAATTAGTTAAAATATGTACAAAGAGTATAAATATTAAATGTATTTAATAGGATTTTTTTAGTAAAGTCTCTCTAAGTTCTTTCTTAAAAATTGTCATTGATGTAATATTTTTTAGTTTATCATCCAAGTCATTCCATATTTTACTGAGCACCACGGTAATTGAATGTTCTTTGACCTGTAGCAGTTTTATGCAGAGGGATGTCCAAGAGGTCATGATTTCTTCTCGATCGATCATGTATGTCGGAACGCTTTATAAATTTATCTACTAGGTAGTCAGTTGCAAGTTTCCCTTTCCAATAATAACTTTTCCACTGGCGACCAATTTAGTTCGCGCAACGCCGGAACTTTCGTACCCCTGATATAACTCTGCACGCGAAGTTCTGCCCTGATTGAAGTTTATTGATATTGTTAGATGACGTGTTGGACCACACCATAGAGCAGTACAGAAGCTTGCTAATTACAAGTGTCTCAATGACCAATTTTAATGTTTCATTATCGAAACTATCCTTCACGCGATTTATTTGACATAGTTTTCTCATACACGACGAAACGAGTTTAGATATGTGGTCGTCGTAGGATAGGTACGGATCCAAATTGATTCCCAAATCCTTAGCTAATAAAACAGGTCTTATAGTCTTTCCTAAAAATGTTAGCGACATTTCTGTAGGTACGTTCTGTAGCATGAGTCTTGAACCGACTACAAGGAATTTAGTTTTTTCTGGATTGATCAGTAATTGGTGCTCCAAACACCACTTGGCTGCTATTGGTAGGTCTGCCTCTAAATTGATAGTCGTCTGTTCCAAGTCGTAGATGCAGAATGATTTATAATGCTTTGAGTCGTCTACGTATGAATCAAGGTTAAACGATTGTATGCTCCCTGGCAGATCGTTAATATAGATGCAAAACAGAAGTGGTGATAGTATTTGTTGTCGATAGGTTACACAAATTATTATTGTTTTTTCTCAACAGGGTCCAATTGCGTCGATCGCGAGCGATCGACGGCTCGAAATTTCATACTTTCGGTTCAGTGCATGCTATGAAGACAGAAATACCACCAATCGATTCAGAAATAAAAGATAGACTAGTTCCAAACGATAGTTATAGTCATTATTAACATTGTAACGATTTATGGGCCTTTGAAAGTCAAACACGATAATATTGTATCAAATTACGCAATTGTCTGAACAAAATATAGACTAGCCATACCTTTCGCTGAAAATAACTTCGGCCTCTTCGCACATATCGTCTTTGTAATAGTCTTGTTCGAATCCCCATCAAAAACACTATTTAGAGTGTTATTTGCAAGCCTGTATCTTCAAATCTGTATCTTTTATCAATATATTTCCATTTCTTGTCCGACTGTGAGCTCGAAGTGAGTTAATCCCAACCGGAAATACGTCTGAAAACCGTCAAAACAATGCGACGTTTGTATCGTATGACCCTGGAAAGGCCAGAAATGGTTCGCAAGGTCAAATTGCACCTACACGCGTGAGTTTGACGTCATCCCGGCCAAAGGAGCTTCTTATTGGCCAATTATTGCGCAATGTACGCAAGTGCGAGTAAAACCCGATATCTTGAAAAATTCAAAATAAATATTTCTAGTCGGCGTATACATACGAAACTTTCTACACGAAAGCGCTTGAATACAGAGAGTATTTTACACGTATAGCCGTTCAGCAAATGACGAAAAGTTCAAGGGGTATTCAAGATCTTGTGGATATGAAATTTAGAATCTTTGGCCAAGCGGTGAGTAAATATATGATTGTTTCGCTTTGTGTAATGTTTTGACGGCACTTGACCCCCCGTTCGAAAGGTTATTTTATGAGGATTTCAATGGTGGCATTTATTTAAAAGGGGGGTAAATACTCGCGGAGATATTTATATTAAAAAAATTGTATCGAAATGTAATACGAAACCGGTTGTCGAGAAAGAGATTAAGACAGTTGCTTTAATATTCTTCTTGATATAAACACAGACGCCTCCACCTTTCTTGTGTAACCGGTCAAGTCTGTGGATCTTATAATCGTCGATTGCAATCTCACGGTTCGTTACTGAGGTGAATCAATTAAAACTTAAAGTTGATCCGTTGCTTACTTCAGGGAACGTCGTTGATGAGCTAAGGAACGACAAACTAAGTCTCATGAAAGAAAACTCTGAGTTGCGCGAGAAAATGTTGAACCTTAGTCTTACTACATCAGACCTGAAAACTAAAGTAAAAGATCCTGAACATGAAAGAGACAGTTTAATAACAGCACTTAAATTACAGCAACAGGATATCGAACAAAATCGAACCACCACTCAAAAACGCCTTGCAGAATGGAAAACAACGTCGGCCACGAAGGACAAAGACAATCAAGCATCTGCAACATTGAACTTGCACAATAGTTTTGACACCTTAGACGACGAGGTGGACGAAGGAAATGGGGAACAACATCCAAGTGTAATTAACCTTGACATTAGTCAACAATCCAATCCTGATCATCAACCAACCGAAGACAATAACACCTCAACTGGGAGTAATAACGGCGGAACCTTAACTGGACACATAACAGATCGTAGGAACCAAAACAAAGAAAAATCACGGGAAGCAAAACAAAGCATAGTCATCATCGGTGATTCCATTGTAAAACACATTATTCCAACAAAATTGTCTAAGAAAAAGGTGCATAAATTTACTTATCCTGGTGAACGCCTTCCCACGTAGTAGTTCATGCGGGAACAAACAACATCCCCTTCGCAATCCGTGGACGAATGTATAAACGACATTGAAGAACTTATTGTTCGAGTGAAGGAGAAATTTCCTAATTCAAAAATTGGTATGTCCGCTATCACAACAAGACAAGACATCGACTCGACATCAAAGGTTAATGAGGTCAACGAGAAGATCAAGGCCATCTCACTAAAGCATAGTGTTAAATTTATTGACAACTAATCTTTGGACGAAACCTCTCTAAACTCCAGTAAGCTGCACTTGAATTCAAAGGGCACAGCAATATTAGCAACCCATTTCATCAACTTCATTAAAGGAGGAAAACCATCAAGCCAACTGCGTAACCGCCCCAGACGGGATTTTCAAACGGGAACCATAAACCAGCTGGAGGAACTGTTGAAGCTAATTTCTCGCTTGAATCGCCATCCAACAAATTAAACTCATCAGGAATGACTCATTTTAACGATAAAGAAAATGCCGGGCGGGAGTCTGAACCTGTGCTGCCGGATATAAGCCGTAAGTGTTTTGATATTAATTATTTGGTAAAGGTTTAGTGATGGCCTCTCTAAATATTAATAGTCTTTTAGCGCATATTGATGAATTTCGAGTTTTTATGAATGAATCTGACATTGATATTATTTCAATCAATGAAACAAAACTTGATTCTTCAATTAAGGATAATGACGTTTATATACCTGGTTATGAAATAGTAAGAAAGGATAGAAAAATAAATGGACGACATGGGGTGGTGTTTGTATCTATATAAGATGCAATCTTAACTACAAAATTTGTAAAGATTTAAGCTCTGATGAATTATAGTATCTAACTGTATCTAAATTACTAAACCTCGAACTAGATCACTATTAATTAGTATCACGTATAGGCCCCCAGACTCACCAGTGTGCCATTTTGATCACTTTGAGAAAATAGTAGAGAAAGTTGATGCGACAAATCATGACTATTTCCTCCTAGGCGACATAAACGTGGATCTTATGCCGGGTGTAACATCAGTCAATGGAAATAAATTGAATGATATATTCGAAATTTTTGGCTTAAAACAACTTATTGTAGATCCTACCAGAACTACACCATATTCTTCTACCCTTATTGATCTTTGTGTTACAATCGCTCCATCAAAGATCGTAAATTCAGGGATAATAGAACTTTCTATAAGTGACCATGTTTTAGTCTATATGACACACAAAGTCCACTACAAACACACATGCTTGCGACTAGTTCATATAAGAAGCATGAAAAATTTTAACACAGAAAATTATTTAAGAGATTTATAACAACAAGCATGGGCAGACGTAAACCTAAGCAATGATCCTGATGAAATGTGGGTGAAGTGGAAGAACATGTTAATTAATTGCATGGACAAGTATGCACCACTCAGATAAAAAAGAGTTGGGAAAAAGAAATCTCCCTGGATCACCAGCCAATTAAAGCAAAAAATGCGTAAGAGAGATTTTCTGAAAAAGAAAGCTAAGCAGACCGGTGATCCATTAATTTGGCAACAATATAAGCATTCACGAAATAGCACGAATAATGAAATTAAAAGTGCAAAAAGTCAATATTTCAAGGTTTACCTTGGGGCTAATAAGAAAAATCCAAAATCAACCTGGAAACTTATTAACGAATTAAACTCTCGTAATGCCTCTAGCTACAAAACTATATCCAATATCAAAGTGGGTGAAGAAACCATATATACATCCATGCAAGCAAATAGCTGAGACATTTAATTCTCACTTTGCTAGTGTGGGTGAAAATTTAGCATCCGATATAGGCGGATATAGGCTACCACCCTCTACCGTAGAACCTGACGTATATGTTGTATATACTAAAACTGTCTGTACCAGTGTTGGTAGTACCAAAGTGAAAATGCTGTGCTGAGTGGTTATATTACTAACTTAAAAAATAAGCAGAAACTCGACGTTTCGAGCGAAGGCCCTTCGAGCGAAGGCCCTCTTGACGAAGGGCCTTCGCTCGAAACGTCGTTTTCTGCTTATTTTTTTTAACGTAGTAACATAACCACTCAGCACAGCGTATATGCTGTGCCTGCTGAAACCACATTTTCAATGAAATCCCTCACTGTATATGCAGTTTACAAAAAATTAAAAGCAATTAACGAAAGGAGAGCAGCTGGTCTTGATAAAATACCTTGCAAACTTTTAGGAATTTCAGCTGAAATAGTTGCCCCATCGTTAACTCAAATATTTAATAAGACATCTTTCCTACAGACTGGAAGCTAGCGAGAGCTGTTACTCCAATTTTTAAGAAAGGTAAAAAAGACAACATGAACAACTATTTTATTTCTGTAGTAGCAAAGATTTTTGAAAAGTTTACTTTTGAGCAGTTGTATGAGTATCTGAACAACAACAATTTAATATCTGCGTCTCAATCTGGATTTCGATCATTGCACAGTACACTAACTGCCCTAATAGAAGCCACGGATAATTGGTCAATAAATATAGATAAAGGCCTTCTTAACGGAGTAATTTTTATCGATCTTAAAAAAGCATTTGATACTATTGATCACACCATTCTTTTACGGAAGTTACGAATTTTTGGCGTTGATGAAAATAGTATCAAATTCTTCGAATCATACCTAAGCAACCGCAATCAAAGATGTTGCGTCAATGGTGAGTTATCTGAAACTGCTAAAATAACCTGTGGGGTACCACAAGGCAATAACTTGGGACCTCTATTGTTCTTAATATACATAAATGATTTGCCTAATTGTCTCGACAGAGCCTCTCCAAGAATGTTTGCTGACGACCCTAATATTAGCATCGCAGCAAATTCCGTCACGGAGCTTGAGCAAATAATAAACTCCGAATTGAAAAATCTTCATCAGTGGCTACTAGCTAATAGACTGAGTCTTAACGTAGCTAAAACGGAATTTATGATAATAGGATCTCGTCAAAGATTACTAGTACATGATAACGAACACATAAGGATAGAAATCGACGAAAGACTATTAAGAGAGTCAACGAAACGAAATCCTTAGGCTTGCAAATCGATGAGCATCTTACATGGGCAGGACATGTCGAAAATATTTCCAAAAGGATTGCATCAGCTATTGGAGCTCTTAAACGGACACGCCAATTTATAGATATAAACACTGCTCTGAAAATTTATGGAGCATTAATTCAACCGCACTTTGATTATTGTAGCTCAGTTTGGGATGGTTTGAATATCACGTTAAATGACAAATTGCAAAAATTTCAAAATAGGGCAGCGAGGGTCATCACTAAATCTCAATATGATGCTAGTTCCAGAGACCTTTTTAGTAAGCTTGGATAATCTTTTAACACGTCGGAAAAAGCATAAGGCTATACTAATGTTTAAAACAATTAACGATCTAACTCCGTTCTATCTCCATGAATTGTTTGAATCTCGCAGCGCAGGATATAACTTAAGAAACTCTGAACACACCTTATTTGTACCAAAACCAAGAACGAACTACGGTAAGCGAAGTTTATGGAACGAGTTCCCACAAAATGTTCGAACAACATGCTACCTAAGTCAATTCAAAAGAGCAATTGACAATCTGTTCTCTATATGAGATGGACTCCCGTACGGCAATCTTGTAAATCAGTATTTTAGTGTTTGGATAAGTGTATATTAATTGTCATAGCGTAATTGTAATTATATGTTAGTTAATTATCTTGTAAAATGTTATACGGTATAGATTTCACCGTGTTTAAATAAAGTTTTTGATTGATTTTTTTGATTGATTGATTGAACTTCAGGTTAGAGTATGTGATATTTCGTAACTGCCAGTTCCTGACCCGACCGCGTAGCTCAGTTGGCAGAGCATTGGGCTAGTATTCCAAAGGTTGTAGGTTAGATTCCCACCGTGGCCAGGCATAATTTTCAAGCTTACCCGGTGTGGATATACACTCAGAGTAACATCACAAACGTGCTAATGAAGTTATTTATCCGAAACTAAAGGGGTTAAAATTTGCCCATGTGAATATAACTAGCCTTCCAAATTAAAATTATTTCCCCCAACAACTACCATTTGAAATATTAAGTTTAAAACGAGATCAGGGCCGGGGCCCAGGAAATTTTTTTTTAGGGGCTCCTATTATTTTTTTCGGAGAACAACCTCCCCCCCGCCGACAACTTTTTAGGTAAAAAAAATTCATATTATACAATGCTAACAGCTTGAAAATTCCACTCAACTGTGTATTTTTTGTTAGTCTTGTTTAAGGTAAAAGCTTTTCCATTTAAAAATAAAGATAAAAGCCATATTTTCCACGCGAGGGCAACTTTTACTTTGTATAGCGCGGCGCCATGTTTGTTTTGTATTACCGTTCATACTTCTTTAAACTAAATTGCTGATTGCTAAATTGGTTGATTTAATCATCGCAATCTTTTTCCACCAATCAGATCAGTTCGTTACAGATTTTTGCACTGTGATTACAGAAAATTGCACTGCAGTGATTACAAAAAATTGCACTGTGACTACAGAACATTGCATTGCACTGTGATTACAGAAAATTGCACTGCTGTTTGGGATTAACTGCATTGAAATCAACCAATCACAGTCCAGTAATATCATTACTGTATTTACTCGTTTGAGCGCCGCCCCCGATTGAGCGCCGCCTCCGAATGAGCGCTGCATGTGAGATCAATTTTTTTTAAAGAGAGCCGCCCCTGAATAAGCGCCGCATTAAACAGTGTAAAAACTTTCCACCGTCAAAATGGGGGCATTTAATGACAAAGAAATTTAAAACTTGTTCATTTTATTGTTAAAAGTTCTTCTTATAATTCACAAATAAAAGTTCTTTTAAAGAGCGCCGCCCCCGATTGAGCGCCGCCCCCGAATGAACGCCGCATCTTCAGCTCTGGAAATTTGAAGAGCGCCGCGGCGCTCAAACGGGTAAATACGGTATGTATATTATTATCCGTTAAAACAACTCATTAAGAAACCTATACGTGTAACAGCTAATACAAGAACATTGATAGATGTTATTATAACTCAATTGGGATATACGAACGTTACTGCTTCCGGAGTCATACACCTTGGAATTAGCGACCATAGTCTAGTGTATACGAAGGAAAAATAGTAGGAGATGACTAGATGAGAATATTGCAGAAGAATTCAACAGTTTCTTCTCGCGATAGGTACGTTTGGCTGAAAATATAGACGCAAGCGATGTCGATCCAGTATCCACTGTCTTTCGTAACACCTATATGCACCACACAACTTTGAATTTCAAACTATATCCCATGATAATATTATAGGGAGGAAATTAAGCAAATGAAAACTGCTAAATCATCGGGCTATGACAAAATCTCTGTGAAACTATTACAGGCAGCTGAGAGTACAATTGTTGAGCCACTAACGTATATATTTAACCAATCTCTTAAGACAGGAATTTTTCCAGATGACTGGAAAATTGCCAAAGTAACACCTATCCATAAATCAGAAGAAAAAAACCCTATGCGGTAATTATAGGCCAATTTCTGTCATTTCTGTAGTTCCCAATGTATTTGAGAAAGTTGCACATGAACAATTAATGAAATATTTGGAACACCACCAAATAATTTCTAAATATCAGTCTGGTTTTCGAGCAAACAATTCAACCGAAACATATTTACTACGTGTAACTAATAGCTGCATGGTTAGCAAACATGGACGCTGGTTTGGATAATGGTGTTCTATTCCTGGACCTCAAAAAGGCCTTTGACACGGTAAACCGTAAGATTCTATTATCCAAATTAGGATGTTATGGGATTCGTGGATTGGCACTGTCATGGTTTCAGCCATATCTTAGTAATAGGAAACAAATATGCAAAGTAAATAACTCGCTATCAACCTTCCAAAATATTTCATGCGACATCCCACAAGGATCTAACCTTGGGCCACTCGTATTTACAATTTATATAAATGATTTGCTAGTTTAAAAATATCTGAACCCGCCATGTTTGCTGATGATACAAGCTTAACTGCAACTGGAGAGTCTTCTTTCGAAATTGAATACAAATTGGGCGTGGAAATCCAAAACGTTAGGACTTGGTTAGATGCAAACAAATTAACATTAAATGAAGAAAAAGCCCTGTATGTGTTAATCGGCTCAGTAAAGCGCTTGAGACAGATAAAAAATGACCCTATTATTAAAATTAGAGATGATATAATCAAACGGGTTTACAAGAAAAAAGGTCTTAGGCTTCGAAATAGATGATGAATTACAATGGACAAAAAATGTTGAAAAACAAACCAAAAAGATTTCTTGTTCTATAGCTATCAGCTATGTTACGAAAGGTGCAGTCTTACGTACCGCAAGCAAACACTACATATGATGTACAGTACAAGTCATTTGTACTCCCCTATTTCAACTATTGTTCAACTATATGGTATGATGGTAATAAAATACATGCCGAAAAAAATGCTTAAACTGCAAAAGCGTGCAGCACGGTCATTACCAGTCCGGGCTTAATTAAAGAACGATCTTCTAAAATCTTTCAAATGCTCAAATGGACAAAAATACAATCAATACTAAAAAAGCGAGAATTAGTGATGACATTTAAACCACTTAGGTGTATGGCTCCAGAATTATATTTAACACAGATGTTTCATAAGACGATTTAAACGAAGCTTCTCCTACAGAGGAGCAGTTTCATGGAAAAAAAATAAATAATAATAATTATTATTATTATTATTATTATTATTATTATTATAATTATTATTGTTTTTATTATTATTATTTTTTTCCAAATTTTAATGGAAAAACTTCCTATAGTAAAAATACCTGAATATAAAAATACTTGAATATAATTTTATCGGTTCTTTCATGAGGCTAATCAATAGCTTGTGTTTTTGAATTGGGAGGTCATCCTGCCTTATGTAAATAGTGTATATTATGTAATGTCACTGAAAGGAAGGCTGGTCGCGCCGGGTTGGGGAAATTTTCAAGATTTTCAAAAAAAAAGTTTAATTAAAATAGTTTTAAAAAAGTTTAAAAAAGCAAAAAAAGTTTAAAAAGTTAGATTTTCAAAAAAGTTTAAAAAGTTAGATTAGGGTTAGGGTTAGTGGTTAGGGGTAAGGGTTGGGTTAGGGGTTAGGTGCCGCGAATTTATCATTATGCCAGATAAATTCAAATTCAAAATGTGCTGCGAACTTATCATAATGATAAATTCGGACGTGTTTAAGAATTTACTCATATAGTAAATTTAAAAGGTGGAGCTCACGCAGAACTTCTCGATAATTACATCATGAATACGTTCTTGGAATGGGAGCCCTCGCTCCCATGGATCAAGACAGAAGGCGATTGGCTCAGGACTCATGAACGTATTCATGACGTATAATTATCGAAAAAGTGTATTGTTATATTTTGCTAATCACTTATACGTCTAATATTTATGCTAATCACGATCAAGCGATTTTAAATTCCCAATGTGGTATTGATATGCATGTTCACAAGCAACTTTCTGCAACGTTTAATAAAAAGTTTTAAAATTCAGTACATTCTGCCGGGTTTACTTCTCAATTGGGTTAGACGGGCGAATACTGGTGGAACTCATAGGAATTCGTAAATTATATATCGCTTTGTAACGCAAAACCAAAACGGTTATCGTGGAACGTAGCAATCATAACTACAGCGTGCCGGAATTATGAATTACATATTGTATTCAAATCCATTTATCCATCGTGCTTTTCGCGCATAGAGACCAAAACCATCTTTCAACAACTTACAAGATATTGAATTACAATCTCTCTATACCCTGTGCAAATTCTAGAAAAAAAGGCATTGCAAAACCTGCGACACAGGCGCAGACGAATTTCACTTTGGGTGTAAAAGTTACGAGAACATATCAGAAACAATGCCAAAAATATATATTTTAAAACATTTTCCAGATGATACTTACCCTTGATTCAAAACAAAATTTGTTGAGTCAAGTAAAGTGATAAACTTCATTTCAAAATGTTTTGCCATCACAGACGGGTAAATGCAGTCATTCCAGTGATATTAGAATGTTAGGGTTTGTAATCCAAGTGAGTATATATACATTTTAAGTTCCACCTCAACAGCTGGCCTCTGTAGCTCAGTTGGTTAGAGCGCTGCAACGGAATCGCAGGGCCGTAGGTTCAATTCTTACCAGAGGACCTTGTGCTGCATTTTTCGCAGTCGTTCCTGGTTAGGTCTTAAAATGTATATATACTCACTTGGATTACAAACCCTAACATTTTAATATTAGTTCCACCAAGTGAAGTGCAAGAATCAAAATCATTGAATTCCAGTGATACTACCTAAATACTCCTCTTAATTGTAAATAGCTATAGCTAGCACGTCATGATCACCATATTGCTATAGTTATAGTAGTTTCGTTATCATAGACATTGTAATGCATGATTAGCAATTATACCTGTAATTAGGTCATGCAAATAAAGCTTTATGATCCCTTCGAAAACAAACTTGAGTGCAGCGTGCACTGAAATGATCCAAAAAGTTATATTTGCAATTTTGTTATTCTCGTTGTGATTTAGCTGAGGAAAGGTTATGGATATGTTTGTGATATGAGATGCTTCCAAGATTCTCTTGGTGAACTGGTAAAAAAAGGTAAATTGAAATTCAAAAAGAAAATATCAGATCTATATTTAATAATTCGTGAGTAAATTAGCCAAACACATTAATGCTTTATTTTGCTCAACTGATGATAATACAGGATACCTGGTGAAGTATATTGATCCAGTTGTAGGACTGGATCAAAATTAATTCAGTCCTTGAACTAGATCAAAATGAATTCACCTCACTTTAGGTATATATATAGGTTATCATATAAGGGATGAGGTGATATCAGTTTTATGGCTCAAGGGATGATATCACAATTGTCACGAGCGAGCGCAGCGAGCGAGGGACAATTGTGATATCGTCCCGAGAGCGATAAAACTGATATCACCGAATCCCGAGTACGATAACCTATTTATTATATACTTGTACCTTTATCAGGGTTTGACACCCAAAAGTAAACAGTTTTGAAAAAATAGGATCATTTTAGAATTCAAAACAATTCATCATTTACTGAACAAATATGATTTTAGAAAATAAATAGACCATTCATATAAATAATATACAATTTAAGTCTTTCGTTTTGTATTATCGTTCTTGTTTTCTTCGATGACTGTCCACAGGTCCACATCAACAAACACGAACCTCGAGTCGGCCATCTTTGTTTTGACAAGGTGCGAAATTTAGCGGGACAAAAAACGATATCCGGGACAAAAAACGATATCAGGGACGATATCTTTTTTATGTCCCGCTGCTTCCTACCTGATAAAGGTACAAGTATGTGATAAATATAGGTTATCATATAAGGGATGAGGTGATATCAGTTTTATCGCTCGAGGGATGATATCACAATTGTCACGAGCGAGCGCAGCGAGCGAGGGACAATTGTGATATCGTCCCGAGAGCGATAAAACTGATATCACCGAATCCCGAGTACGATAACCTATTTATTATATACTTGTACCTTTATCAGGGTTTGACACCCAAAAGTAAACAGTTTTGAAAAAATAGGATCATTTTAGAATTCAAAACAATTCATCATTTACTGAACAAATATGATTTTAGAAAATAAATAGACCATTCATATAAATAATATACAATTTAAGTCTTTCATTTTGTATTATCGTTCTTGTTTTCTTCGATAAATTGTCGACATCAAGTCATCAACGAACACGAACCTCGAGTCGGCCATCTTTGTTTTGACAAGGCGCGAAATTTAGCGGGACAAAAAACGAAATCCGGGACAAAAAACGATATCCGGGACAAAAAACGATATCCGGGACGATATCGTTTTTATGTCCCGCTGCTTCCTACCTGATAAAGGTACAAGTATGTGATAAAGAGATTTATTCGTACGAGATGTCAATATGTCATTTCAAATCAAATTGCGCGGACTTGAAATCTAGTCCAGGAGCCGGTTGTTCAAAGCTAGGTTAGCTTAACCCTAGGTTAACCTAAAATTCAAAGCAAATTTCCTGACAGCTTGTCCGTATAAATTTGGAAATATTTCTGCAGAGATCTTGTCTGGATCGATAGGAGTTTATACTTCTCTGAAGTTTTGAAATAAACCGCAGACGTGCAGAAATACTCAAACTAAAACAACAGGTTAAATTTTATTCCAGGGTTTGCGCTAACCCACCTTTGAACAACCGGCCCCTGTCCTCTTACAGTGGCATAGCCAAGGGGAGCATGACTGCCCTTGTGAAAAGCTGAAATCAGAGCAGAAATTGAGGGTCGGGGTGGGTGTGGGGGTGGGGGCGGGGGTGGGAGTGGGGGTGGGGGTGGTGGTAGGTGGAGGTACTGTTCTGTTTACCAATAAAGGTTGTAGTCTTCCCCATCTACAATCCTAACTCTTGGAGGCTGCTCCATTTATGTTCTAGAACATTTGGAACACTGTCCTGGAACGATATGAAATGGAGTGCACACAGTGTTCTGGAACAGTGTTTAGTTTATTACATATGCGTGTAACCATGCATTACTCGATATATTATATATCACATAATAAATCGTATAATGATTTGCTGTTATTTGTATATCTAAGTGTGCTTTTGCAACGAATTTACCCAACCCTAGCGTTCAAATAGCATATAATTAGAGTATGTCGATGTAATGCGGTTAACACTTCAAAATAACGCTCTATGCAGTGTGCATTGGATAAACACAATCTGTCACTTCCATTTCCAATCACGTGAAAATGGGCAGTGTGACGTGTTCTGTTCTGGCTGCCCCTACTCGAAAATCGGGGTAGTCAGAACAGTTCAGAACAGTAAAATATCCAAATGGCCATTCCGCCACGGATCACTGATTAAGCATTGGGGAAAAGGAAGGTCCATTGTTTCCAAATGAAACACGGAAATGGATC